CACTCACTCACTCACTCACTCACTCACTCACTCACTCACTCACTCACACACGCACGCACACACACGCACACACACAAACACATACAATTCTCCATAAGAACAAATATGGCTGACATTAAATTGAAAATGGCAGAGTGAGCGCTCAAGCTTCCTGGGAGCAGAGCATACAGTGCCTAAATCCATCATGTATGAGGAGGCAATCTGAAACAGGTGCCATGGTGGCAACTTTACCGGCCTACCGCCAAGCTCCTGCGAGTGCTGTCAGAACAGGACCGCGTGTGCCAACAGTGGTGCCTCCATCAGCCCAAATCAGCAGGCTATCCAGCTCATTTCATGTCAGTCCAATTGTAGATTGAGCATCATGTGGATGTTCATTTGAAAAGTCCGTGCCCAGAAGGAATTACAACTCCTTTATAGGATTCTGTCGCATTTTTTCAAGCTGTCAACGTAAACTTTCAAGCATCATTTTACAACCAGGAAGCTGAGTGAATGACAAGCTTACGTCACACAATTTAGACACAAGAAAAAAAAAAAGAAAGAAAAGAAAACCAGCACTTCAAGTTATTTGATCTAAAGTGACCACTGTGCAGTGGTGTTATTCCTGACATTTTTTAACCGTTGTAAACTCTTTCAACTCAGAGCATCAACGCCATGGAAAGCTGATCTGTGGCACAAACTAAAAAAAACTATGATCAGGTTTTCCATTGTAGAAATCTGAGTCCTTAGTTCAGGACTAAAACAAATGGATAAAAAAAATAAAATAAAAAAACTGCTCAGGGATTGTTAAGAGTTGATCTGGGATCTGCTGGTATTAATTAGCGAGCCAAACAGAACAGAGCTGATTGAAAGCAACCAGCGGGCTCGGTATACTGACAAAAAGACTGGGAGAGAGGCCACTGTTCTGCAAAGTTTGTGTATTTGCTGACATATGTAGGCACTAAGGCTTGACTGACAGATTTGAAAGGAAAACAGGGATTTGTTTACATGGGTGTCATGCAACTGTCCCTTTTGGTAGTGTCAGGAAAAATAGTTGCCCTTTTGAATCAAAATGCCCCGCTGATATTCAGATGTCTCGGTTTTGAATACTTAAATACACTGTCAATAGATAGACCAAACAGGCCAAACATGTAATGTGTTTAAAATCAAACAAAGTCTATTTATATCCATATATAAACAAAAAAATTACAAGCTTATATAAGCTGAGACCTGTTGCAGTAAAAATAATTGCAGTAAAATAATTCAAACAGTTTTTTGGTTTCATCTGTTGTGCCATGGACCAGAAGAGCCTTGCTTTTTAAAAATGCAGGCTTGTTCCTCTTTCTTACCAATACTTAATAATATATTCAACAAAAACTATTTTGGGAGGTGAAGATGGGAAGGTTTTACAGTATCTCCATTTCTAATTTGTTATCTCTGCTCTTTTCTTCTTGCTTGTGCTTGTATGCTCCAAATCTTTGAGGATCTAGTAGGATGACATCATGACTACATTTACTCTGATAAAAATAATATATCCCAAACTCTCGAGTTTTGTCAATTTAGACATTTTTGTTAAACGATGAAATGAAAAAAATATATATATTATGTTGTCATAGCAATGCAGTCAACCAAGGAGGATCAACAGTCACTAACAGACACTCTGTTTACAGTCAGGTTGGGATGAACTGGACATTTTTGTGCTTGGTAATAAGAATAAGTCTTGTCTTTGTGTTCTTGCTCTTCAGTCTCCGCAAACAGGGACAGAGGGTAGAGGACTGTGCTAGAATGTAAACCAGACTGGATCCAAGCTCCAAGATAAAAATTTAAAGGCTGGCAGTTGCTCGAGCAAAAATTTGTGTCTTTCCTCCTGACTGGCAGGTATCCTCTTCCCCAGTCGACTGTACATTCATACAAGGGCATTGGATTTGCTCATTTTAATTCCGAGATGTTGGTGCAGTCAGACAAAAATTGTTGACAACTTTCCCAGAAAGATCTGAGGAAGATGAGTCCCCATAACAAAAGATCCTTCAAAAACTAAGCAATACATTTCCAATGACAGTCCTATAATTATTTTCTGTTTGTATGTTAAGAAAGGTCCATGTTTCAAACTGAAAAGGCTGGATAAAGATTAGTCATTTTGCCGCACTGGTTTGTGACTGCTTACATAAAAACAATTTCAAAATAGAGAGACTGGACAAGAAGCTGTGAAAATCCCTCAGACAAGTAAATACATGTTTAAAATACTGTATGTGAATATAAAGGCAGGCTCTGACGATACCACCAAGTGCATTTGTTTCTAATCTCATACCAAAAATTCAAAAACAACTTCATAAATACAAGGGAAAATAAAAATAAAATCTGATTTGGTGTGACTTTCTGTTTTTTTCTTACATTCAACAAGCCAGCTAACTCGGGTTAATCTGGCTTTGGGGTTCTATGAAAGTCTGATTCAATGAACGTTAAAAGTTGAAGACATTTAATTAAGACATATAAATAGAAAAATCAATTATCCAATTTGGGCTTAACTTCTTGCACCATTGCTTTTTAAATAAAATGTCTTGTGACAGATTATCACAGCAGGACAACACAAACACTGACCACAACATAGAAAATAACGTAATAATGCTACATGCATTCTTAACATATACTGGACTGAAAAGAAACATGTGCTTGTTGTCACAGATTGATCGCAGAAATGTGCTTACAATGATGGTGGAGTGTAGGCTGGCGCATGTCCCTCATCACCTGGCTGTATAATTTCTCTTCTCAAAGAAAGAAAGCACCCGGATTCAAGTTCTGAGGTCTCTGTGGAAAAGCAGAGCTAATGCTTTTTGTGCTAGTGCTTGCTGGTGGATGATGCTGAAGAGGAGAACCAAGAGTTAGGACTCATCTTTCTGTGCTCTTTCAGTCTGTGGCTTCAGTAGTCAAGTTCCTGGGTCTCAAACATGAGTAATGAGTAAATCCTACCCTAGAGTGTGTGAATGTGTTTAAATGATTTGACTACTGTGGATTTCCGAAGGCCAATAGTTACCACTCATGATGCTTTGTGGTTTCATCAAATATATTACGATTGGTAAGTCCAGTGTTGTTGAACAGTTTATCTATCTTTAATCCAGGTTAATTACATATTTGAAGGGTTAGAAGCTTCTTAAGGCAGGTTTTAACTTTGTATTTGTTATTTTATTTTTCAAAGGAAGTTAAAAGTCAAACCAATATCAGCCAAACTATTGTGTGAATGTGTGTTCATGTTCATGATCTTGTTTTCCTATATTCATATGATCCAAAAAGAGGGACCCAGTGTGTTTTGTGGGAACCAAATGGTGGATCCTACATGGTTAGAGGGCTTTTTTGATGGTAAAAACTTTGTTTTATGGTCGGAGATAGATGCAGGTTCGTGTTTGGTTTAGGGTCAGGGTTAGCTGTGGCGGCTCGAGAATGGACAATGTCAGTGGTGAAACACTACAAAGATAGAAAAAACAAGTTGGTGTGTGTGTGCTTGTGTGTTGTATAACTCAGATACGGGAGGATGTCTGCTTGTCCGCTGGCTGTAGTTCAGAAACTCTCGACAAAGCTGCCCGGAAACAGTCCTGTCTGTCCTGTCCTTTGCAGGGTGCCTTTGTACCAGCCGTCCTCCCTCTTCTTATGAACGAACACCACATCCCCTTCCCGTAGCTCAATCTCCGCCTCGCTCTGAGGAGGGTAAGGAACCACAACCCGAAACCTGCCAAAGTAGAGAAAAGAGTTGTGATATGCACAATGTTGCTTGCAACCTACTTAGCCTTATTGGGTTGAGAGGTGCAAGCCCACAGACTTTTGAAATATGCTGTTACTTTGCTACTTTGTTCAACCTCCAGCCATGCATCACTCTGTATGTTTTCTCCTGTGTGTTTGTGGACCGACCTCTCTCTTGACAAAGGTTTGGGTTCTGGCCTGAGAACCATGAGAGCGCTGCCAGCTCTTGTGGTGGGCGGTGACATGGGGAAGTTGGTATCCAGAGATCCAGACTTCCTGTGTAGAGGCTCCAGCCCAATGGCACCTGCCATCTCACTTTCGATTGGACAGGAGCCAGCTCGTCCCTGTGAGGCCATGGGACAGGAACCGGAACGGGCATGGTGGTGGTGGTGGTGAGGATGGTGGGTCGGGTCGGTTGCCACAGCCCCTTGACAAGACAGTGAGGGGTCATGGGTAGGCGGAGAAGAAGGGGGCGAACGGGATTTCTTCTTAGCTGCTGCCCCCGACAAGAGCTTTAATAAACCTGCAGCTTTCCTCTCCTTCTGAGGACAAAAGACACAAAGAGGGTGCAGGAGCAAACAGGGAGCTTTAAATTAGCAGACAAGAAAATTACAACTTAGAGATTACTCTTTATGCATGGACAAAAAACAAAAATGTAGTGGACGGACATTTTAAGTTACAGGAGATGTTTCACCCTTTTTCAATTTCTTATGAGAAGCAGAGCACATTGGACATGGGCTAAAATGTCAAAGCCCCTTCAAACAAGCTCCTTGAAACAGACATGGCTGATGAATAAAACAAAAGTGTAACTAAATCATTAAGAAAGCAACACCAAAGTCCTAATGATGGTCGCCTGCCTGAGAGTACCAGACGTGCAGGGCTTATTCTTTCAATTTTTTTTACTAACCTAGTAACCTTTGTCAATGCTCATTATGCTTGTAGCCCTTTAGCAATGACTCACAGAGATTTGATTAATCCCGTGTCCCTCTTTTCGTTCACTGGGCTTTTTGAAGAGAAATAAAACTAAGGAAGAAAAGTTGTTTTACTATTTTTCTGGCTAAAGACATGCTGCTAAATAGACATCAATAGCATTGATTCAAAGAAAATGACTTTCTGAATGGCACCTGCAAAAGAAAAGTGATGCCTTTCTAAAGCTTTCTTTTAATTGTGATTATTAAAGGGGGGGGGGGGTATACTCTCGCAGCTTAGTAGTTTAAACTCTCAATTATTACAGAATATGCCATTATGGAGACGGACTGACAATGGGACTTCTACATTTTTTTAAACATGCTATTTGCAGGATAAAAAAAGGTCAGAGCATTCATTTGATGCAAGGATATAATAAAGGTTAAAGAAAGAATATTTATATGCAGTCGCTGTCTGAAACTCACAGCAGCAGTTGGTCTCAAGAAGACACATCTTCACTGTCTACTGACATTTTAAAACGTCAGCTGGTTCATTGACCAAAATAATCATCAATCTGATTAATAATGTTGAAAATAAGTATAAGCTGTAGCATTCATCTTCTAACGAATCAAAGTCAAACACAGAATTCTAACATGTGTTAGCATTATTCAGTTGTCACAACTCACCCTGACAATCTTCCCAAAATCTTGTTAAACAAATGAACTGACTGAAATGCCCCATAAAACAAAAAAGAGAAGTGAGTTCTATCCTTGAAGAGGAGGAGCGACATAGAAATGAGTGCTCAGCAAATCTCTCAGAGTAGCTTTTTGAACACTCAGCAGACTCCCTCTTCCATTCCAAAAATATATTTTCTTCCTGAATACTAACATTGACGTATTACCCATTGACAATTCTTGTGTATCCTGGCACGGTACTGAAAGACACTCCTAAAATCTTCAGCTTTTGTACCGCAGTTTCTCTTCCTGTTATGGAAATGCAGACTGTCTGGAGTTTAATTTTAGAGAAAGATGTGGGGGGAGAAAAGGTGACAGTAAAAGTACAGAGAAAATTGAGAGCTATATGAAAAAAAGGCTGGTGAAGTAAAACTCAGAGAGGATAGTGGGGTAGGGTGGGTATCAGGAGAAAGACAGGGGAACAGAGAGAAAGTCAAGAGTGGGTAGAGCAAGAATTAAAGATGCAAAGAAGAGAGGCATGACGGCAGATTTAAAGAAGGGAGGCGGGTTGAAAATAGCATAAAAAGTGAATAATTACTCCCTCTCTTCTTTCATCTGCAGGCTTAAAGGCTTAATCTGCCTTCTGTGAGTGTGTCTAATTGTGCCTCTGTTTACAAATGTCAAACTGCTCATGTTGTTCAAAAACACATCACTAGAGGGCAACAGACATTCACACTGTATTCTGACAAACAAGCAAGTCAAGTCTTCCTCTGCATCACCAACCTTATCATTGACAGATTTTAGGAATTAGCAAGAAAATCTGTTTTTAACAAGTAAATTCAACAATGCACATACTTACAAAGAAATATTTGTATATCTAATATACATACACACAAAGATGTGTCCATGCATATGTGTGTATAAATATGATTGTGAATAAATAGATTACTATTTTATATTATTAAATATAACATATTATACACCCCGAAAACTGGGTGTATAATATAATATAATATAATATAAGTTCCACCTGGCATGTGGAAAAATTAAAAATGGGACGTAAAAAGAAGAATCTCTAGCAATTATTATTATAAATACTGTATAACTGGGGAAGGGGGTCCTCTGAGGTGCTAGTTAAGACAATAATCTATAGTGTTTTACCACATTTACAGCTGAAAGAATGATTTGATTCCTTGCTTGATTAATACTTTCACCAACATTTTTTAAGCCAGTAGTCGTACTTTCTCAGATTCTCATCATCCACAACTCATTCAGCGTTTAGTGATGAAAGTTAAAAAAAAAAAAGAAATATGAATGGGGGGTCTGGGCCTTACCTTCTCTGGTTTGGGTGCGAGGGCACCGTGAGCAGAGGCGCTGGACGGGCCCGGGGACGGCGGCTGCAGGGGACTGGCCGGCTCGCCGTTGAGGAGCACTGCCGAAACGTTTGGAGGGGTGAGGCAGGTGAGCGGGGAGGAGAGGGGGAGGATGGGACGAGAGGCCGGGGAGGAGAGGGGGGAGGGCCCTAAACTGGACGCCGGGGACACCATGGAGTGGGGACGGCCCGACTGGCCCGGGCAGCGCAGCGGGGAGGAGCTCTGAGGACGCAGGGGGGAGAGGGCCACTGCAGGCCGCTCCGGGCTCCCAGCGGGAGGACTGTGGACTGAAAAGAACATCATATGTGTTGATTCGTACATCCCAAGGAGCTTGTTATTTATTAATATAATCAGCATCTGCACTGAAAAGGTGTATGAAACTATGTGGTGTAGCCTCAGGAGTGGCAGCAGGTGCCAGTTTATCACAAGTCAGAGAGCACAGAAACTCTTTAATTCCTCGTTTAGCTGACAAAGGGTTACTAAAAACCAAATCAAATCAGGAATCCGCCTTGAAAAATGTTTTTTAAATTGACAGAACGGAGTAAAAGATTTGTCACAGCTATCACTTGCTTCTGTTACTAGCTGTGATGAAGACAACAACAAGAAGCTTAACTCCAAACTCCTGTAGAAAAAAACAACGGGCAAATGTGGCTTGAGTTTGTTTCAGTCTGTGCAATGAATGGAAACATTAAAGTGCATAAAAATAAACATTCCCATAAACCTACAGACATGTATATACCACATACATAAACACAGAGGTATGCACACACTTGGGTTTTCCAGCCACCTGCTCTGTTACTCCACAACACTCGAGCAGAATCCTTGGAGAGGTGTGCTGGTCGTGTTATAAAACCACTAAATGCCAGAACTATGCACATTCTTTATTTTGTAATCAGGACCAGATGTGTGTATGTGTGCGCGTGTATGAGAGAGAGACACAGAGATAAAGAGAGAGAGAGAGAGAGCAATGAGAGAGCGGAGAGAAGAGGGAGCAGAGGTGGGGAAAGAAAGGAGAAGCTCTGTTATTACGCCTCCATAAAACAAAAAGCACAATGATGTCATTCGGCGGTGTGTTTGTCAGTTTTTGTGTTCACCAGTGTGTAGGTGTGTACATGGGAGTGCACACATCTATGTGTGTGTGTTATTCTTGACAGTTCTGTCGTGTGTTCTTGCCAGCTCCTCAAAAGAGACCTTCGCCATTATGCTCTTAGAGGGAGAACAAAAAGGATACAAAGTGGAGAAGAGAAAGGGGCACTGAAGAGATAAATAGATTTTGAGTGGAAAGCAAGGCTGATATGTGGTTTATGTTTGAGAATACACAGTTTAGCTGGCAGCAGTTTTGCTCGATTTGACAATGCAACGAGACAGTTTTTGACCACATGTTTAAGCAGATCTCATCTCTTGCAATGGAATGCATTTTAACAATGGATTGTAAAAAAAAAAGAAAGAACATTTGTTTTTAACATTTGTAATTAAATATAACCACTATTCAGGACTGGAAGGAAACCACGGATACCAACAACCTCAGCCAAGAGTCCCACATCACTCTGTCTCAAATATTATTGTACACATGATTCATTAGTTTTGACCCAAAACTTAACCACAATTCTGTATTAACCGCATCCCCTTGATGTGTGTTTATGCACTGAGTAAGTTCATCTGAGCTGGCTATAAAAAAAATACTAGAAACAGACTTGAAGCATCTGAATTGATAGTATTTGAACATTTCACGTTAATACATAAACTTCCCCTGAGGAAGTAGCTTCTCTAACTGGTTCAATATTACAAACAGAGTGGGCTACAATCCTGCCGGTCAAACGCGGAGCTGGACTGCTTTATGCCTGCTGGGTGAGCAGTAACAGTGTGGAGAGCAGCAATGTAAGACTTTAGAGACACACACGTCTCATTTCTTTGGGGGAAAAAGTCTGTGATGTGTCTGCCTCTCTTGCATAACATCGGGCTCTTTCTTGTTCAAATGTGTGTCTGAATGTGTGAAAAAACGTTTTCTCATGTCGGTTCATTTCCTAATCTGTCCTTACCAACCATTGCATCATGTGTTTTTTTCCTTTTTTTTTCCCAGCTCATGACAATCAGTAAGCAAGTGGCTGAGAGTTATCTATAATCTGCTGAAGAAACTGAAAAAGGCTCCAGTGAACCTAAAGCTTTAATGAATCAAATTAACTTATAGAGATGAAAAAAAAGAAACGTTTCTGCTTACCGAGCTGCATTGAGGTGCGTGCCTGGTTGACCGTGTGCTGGCTAAAGCGCAGGCAGTTCTTCAGCTGGGTGGCGGCAGTTTGCGGCGAGGAGACGAGGCTGATGCTGTTAACAGAGTTGGCTGAGGTCACGAGCGGGGTGGAGGGACGGGACGAAGAGGGGCCCGGGGACGAAGGGTCGGAAACTTTGCTCGATGCCTGACTGCACCCACTTCCTCCACCGACTGGACTGGACAAACACGAGCCCCGCGTAGCACCAACCCCAAATGGAGCCCTTAGGAGGGAAATTTGGACTTATACGTTGGAAAACTTTCATGGACATACCAAACTTGCATTTCAAGACATCATTTACAAGACGTGATAAACCCAAGACAGCAGTGAGCAAAAACTGCAATTACAGCAGTTACTATTTTCATCTGCTGTTTCTCGTCATGGTGACATAGCTCCCGCCCCACCATCATGCACCTTTGCTTCTGATAGCTCTGTACAGATATGTCAAAACATGGGTTATTCCACTGAGCTTTTGAAGTGTGTATGTGGAAGCTTCTTACATCAAGCCAGCAAACTTTCTACATGAAGGGAGAATATATTGTCAATTTAATAAAACAGTGCAACTTAAAAGAAGAAAAGCGGGAGAGAAAATGGCATGGCTAGAGTCAGAGGATGTTCGAGTTTAGTTTAGTACATTAAACAGTACGTCTCTGGACAGTTTCACCAGAATGCTAGCATGCCGGTTCGTCTCTCATTCAGCTAAAGCACAAAATATTAATGCAGACATAATTTTTAATTCCTAATGGCAAGGCAGGAGTTAAAAACAGTAGTATCACGCTCTGTCAAAGTGAATAATATCTTTGCTACTATCTGAGTGGTGGATCAGCATGCTGTGCTGTTTCATATATGGTGCTGCAGGCTGCTCGTGTTTTTGTCCGCAGAATGCTGAATGGCAGAACAGTGAACTGAACATTATTGACGCAGTGGTATTCACACTCTTATGGCTGCCCATTGACTTCCTGTCAGACACATGCTGAGTTATGGCTCTGTGTGTGTTTCAACCAAAACGACACAGCAAAGTTATTCACAGATTTTTTGATTTGAGGTCCACGGTGGAAATCCTTTTACACACTACATTTCATTGCTTCCTGTGTGCTGTGGGGTCAACACACCGGTGTCCCCTGCAGACATTTTTGACTGCAGTTTGGTGCTTAAACGATCCATCCACATCTAATAAGTGAGAACCATCAATTTGACTGAAGCTGCACTAATGGAAAAGCAGGAAATGAACTCCCAAGCATTTCGTTGTTTGTTGTAATTATTTTTCAGAGATTGTAATTTGTAATTTATTGCACTTAAGTTGTAATGTATTTTTCTTATTTAGAATCTTAACAATTTGCCATCCAAAAAAATGTGTATATATCTAAACTGCATAAAAAAATCTGTCCAAATTGTCATTTTCATTCCTGTGTAGGTGTCTAAGTCTATTAGTGTGTGCATCTTTGAAGGCTTCTCATTATCATACAGAGAAATTTCTGAGCTGCACTGCAGACAAAGGAGGGGGGAGCTGTCAGGAAGGCGGGGTGGGGGAGAAGGGGAGAGTATGCTTGCGTAAAAATAACAAATTGCCTCTCATTTGATTACGCGCCCATCCTGTCTTTCTCTCGCTCTCTCTAAGATTGTATAAGCACAGAATGTGAAGCAGCCATTCATATCCACAAGAGGAGGACACCTGCTGTGTTTGCAGCCGTTTCATCTCTTTGGATCATTTTCTCTTTCAATTGCTCTCTCTTCCTTCTTCTCCCCTTCTGTTTCCAGTTTCTTTCTCTGTCAACTGTATTCTATTTTAATCTCCCCTCAAGATTCCCAGCATTTGTCATTTTTTTCTTTTTTCTTTTACCCCAGTGGTCCTCCATAATCTTTCTTTCAAACTGTTTCATCCCCTCATATTTTACCTTTCCTTCATTCCACTATTGCACTTCTTTCATTTTCATCCTCTCATTCTTTTTCCTAGACTGCCTGGCAACATAGAATACATTTAGACAAACAGCAACAGCAAATGTTTTTGTGAACTGTGGAGGAATGAGGGGATTTAAATCTGTGAAATAAAAAAAACTTTTTCTCACTTTGATCAGCTGTGATGTTTGGAAATTGAACAGTAATGATAATGAAGATAATGACGATAATGATCTATGATGAGGATGTGGTAGCCCAACATTGGAAGAGCTGAGCCAGTGAAATTGGCTGGAATGTTGTTATTGTAGTTAATGTTCTTGTATCGCTGTCCCATTTTAAATTAGTTCAACTTTTGGAAATCATCACACATTAATTTATATTTTAAAAATAATTTATTGTATTTGGAGTTGTTTCCCCCTAAAGTGCAAATTTGTGTAGTTTTTGGTTTGTGACATTATAATTAACATGAGGCAGACATTATTCACAATGCTCCTCTTCTGACTAAATAGATGGAAAAACATGTAATTAAATGTCATCATACCAGTATCATGAAACTGCTAATTCTCTGATATACTTAGTTTTATGTTTAAGATTACAACATAAATTACAACATGTGAGTAAAAAATAATGAGTTAATGCCTTCACATTGCAGTGCTGGGCAGGATCCAAACAGTCGGTAATACGTGGGCTGATGGTCTGAATTAGACACATGGTTGTTTATTTATACTGAGCTGGTACTGAAACCGGGGTCTCTTCACAAGACCATTTCACTTCATTGTTCATCCATCATGGAAGAAATACGAGGTAGACCTTGGCTCTCAACCACATCATCAAATCTATACCCCAAATGCAATTTGTGTTTATCTGGACTTGGCAGTGGCGGCGTTACCACTATAAAATCCATTACAAGCTTCAGCTCACCGACCTGGACACAGGGGTGACGTAGTTTCCTGGGAAGACACCAGAGGCAGCCGTTCTCAGCGAGGTGCCTTTGAACCATCCATCCTGACACTTCTCTGTTACCCGGTACATCTCCCCTTTCCTAAGCTCCAACTCGTCTGCCTTCTGGGGTTTGTAAGCATACAGAGCCAAATATCTGGAGAACAAAAACAACAAAAAAGTGTGTCTGAGATGCTGAACAATTCCCAAAATCCAAAGTGTTTCCCTCTTCTACATCTGGAACCATGCACGAGGACTTGCATTAAAAATGAATCCTTACAGATACAGATACAAGAACCAGATATTCTTCATGCATTATGAAATGTTCAAGAATCTAAAATGCAGGATTTCCTTCCCAGGCCTTAAAGTTCTGTCACCAAAGAAGAAATGTGATGTTGAGCCAAAATATTCATACACCCTCCCATTTCCTGTTTTTTATCGTTATGTGCAAAGCATCTAAAACTGTGGGGAGGTCGACCCACCCTTTAATATCCATATTTTCAAAGCGCTTTATGAGGGATTATTTCAGTCTCTTTAAGAGAACAAGAGCTCGTTAATCATCGCTCAGTGAAATCTAATAACATGTTAATCCTCACAACAGACAACAGCAGAGAGTACATTTCTTTATTCTACTAAAAAGTAAATCAAATTTACATGAGATCATTCAAGTCGTGGGATCACTGTGGCCACTTGAAGACGACTCATGACTGATTGACTGTTGTTTTTTCCATATTTTGTAAATGATTGCCTGATCAGCACTGAACTATATGTTGAATATTCAAGAAGTGCAAACATATGAATGAGGTCCTGGTCAGGAGCTTTTACCAGTATGAGGCACTGAAAGAAGACGATAACACCACAGAGTAAACAGGCCCTATATATGCTGCCTTCCTCGTTACCATGGTAACAGATGTGGGGACTGTCTCCGTTCACCACATGGCAACAGGAGTTGCCAGGTCAAAATGAAAACGTCGGACCCGATCAGTGGGACAGACCCATTCTCGGCCTGAAAGTGTGTGTTTGTGTGTGTGTGTGTGTGTGCCTGTTGTGCATCCACACAGCCACTTTGAATTTGACATTACAAATGCTGACAGTGCTTTTGGATTTGATTCATATTCTGGCAGAAGGATGGCACTCAACAGTAAATACACGCTCAATTAAACACTGGACTTTGTGAGATGATGAAGATTCATGAGCAAAACTAAGCTAATTATGTTCTATTCTTGTGAGTACTTGGTAAAATGAGTGAAAAGTTAGTGTTGGCACACCAACAACCAACTGATCGTGAACTGTATTTGCATCTCAACAACAATCTAATTTGGCTTTTGGAACTATGTAAAGATTGTTTTTTGCCTATGACTCACACAAAAGATGTGAAAGAAATGTCAAAAGCCAAGGCCCCAGATCTTGCTTTTGCAACCATTATTTGTATAATCTTCTCCATATATTTTATCATCTCGGTAATATCTTTTTCAATCTTGATTACTAAATAAAAGAAGATAAAATGGAAAAGAAATAGGGAAAAAAAGCTTACTGACAAGTTATCCGGTGTCTTAATACTTAAGGATTTGTTATGAAACCCAAACCTTGATACACACAGTGAGGGGAACTGTGTATAACTGTATTTTTCCTCTCTGAGGGAGATTTCATCCTTGACCGGTGGAGGAGTAAATGTGGTTGCAGAGGTTGTGGAACATGGCCAATATCTCTGGGTACAACAGAGTAAATATTTCTAACGCTGGCCGGAGGTGGTTTCTCCTGGATCTCGAGCACATATCTACTGTGTTGATAAACAGAATGGGCCGGTAGAAGGAGGGACTACAACAAAAAAAAAAGAAAAGAAATAAAGCTCACAGCGGAATGAGCTGGTGGCACTGAAGGGTACTCACATGTTGAGTGGCAGCTGCACCTTCGCATGGGCCAACAGCTCCGAGGTTAGAGAGGCCACTTTGGGGGACAGCGGAACGCCTGCCGAGGAGGGCGAGGGACCAGGTGGAGATGCATCCTGAAGCCACATAGGATACTTGGTGTTTTACATTTGAAATATACAAGGAATTACTTGACAAATGCACCTGCATTCTTCCAGCATCCTTGTCTTTACTTTACAAATAGGAAAAACAACACAAAGCAGCATCCAAATGTGTTGCGCTGCGTTATGGCGTGCGCCATAATGGGCGTCCGCACCTGGATGCGCGCAGCAGCTCTGGGGTCAGAGGAGCTGATGAGGACCGGGTGGGAGATCTCCATGCTGTGCCTGTTGTTCAGCTGGGCGGCCCTCTGGCTAACGGACAGGGCAGAAAACGAATGCCTCTTCTTGGCGTTTTTCTTTCCCTCGCTCCTCCGGTGGCCAGAGCCGTTCCCATTGGATGGGGAGGCGCTCGGCGAGGGTCCCGGGGTGCAGGGGCCCAACGGGGCTGGGTCGGAGCTCGGACCTGGCGCATTGGCTGGCAGAGGCTTGTCGATCTCCATCAACTGCTTCGCTGTCTCATTTAACTGAAAGGTTTGGATAGAAGAAACGGGATGATAAGACACAAGAGGAATGGGTGTGAGATGTCAGACAGAGTAGTTGATGCACATTTCAAACATACGTGTATCAGTGTGGATTTTTCTGTCTTTTCTGCCATTGTTCCTCTGGCATCTGTTCAGATCAGCAGCAGCAAAGTAATCACAGGAAATTCAACTTTTTACAACTTTTCATTCTTATTTTCTAGTCTTAGAACAGATTATGCAACCAAAAAGGATGAAAGAATAAAATAAACTATAGGCATGAGAAAATGTTATTTAAATGATAATCCATCTTTATTTACTTAAAGCTAGTCAACCTGTTGTTATCAATTGTGCTGCTATTCGAAGCTAACCAGAGAAGAGACTGTGCATGACATTACTGCGAGAACTGCTATATACATTCTCCAGCGGCAGATATTTCTTTAATCATAAAATCAGAATTGTCCAGACGTCTGTGTTTATTTGCTGAGGGGGATTATCCAAAACAAATTAGAACCGGGAAAAAAGACAGTTTCAAAATGAGTCTCCACAACGCTAAAATGCAGTAAAATGTCTTGAAGATTATTTTTAATCATTCAAAGCAATCAGTTAGTCATTGCAGACTCTCAGACCCAGAATCGTTCCTAATATCTAATCTTTCGTTAACTGTTATGTCTCAGTTTGAAAAGAAGCTAAATGTAAACCTGCTTAACAATGAACAGTGCTTGTTTTATACTTGAACTGCTTTAGACTGAGCGGATACCTGAAGTTCGACAGTGACACAGATTCTTAAACAGTGAGCTTTAAGATGAGGATTTCAGCAGTGAATTGTAAAACTCTGAGTTAATGGGTTGTTGACTCAGTCACACATTCTTATGAAAAGAACAACAGTGCTCAAGGCTTTAGCTTCGGCTTGTGTTTTTACTCTCAACACTGGATACTACACGCACTATTTGTTCATTTCAATCTTTTTCTAATGGTTATACCCAACAGTACTTAATTTTTTCCACATAAAATATAGAATTTATAAGTAATACGTGAATGATCTTTGACGATACTGCCTAGCAGCATCAGGAAATCAGGCTTTGCCCTTTGTCTGGCAGAACAGGAGAAGAGCCCCAGAAAGAAAACATCACTGAGAAAACTTTTATCAACCTCGGCTTTCTGTTTTCTCGGGACCCACTCTGCATTATGCAGATTGGACAAAAGGTTGTCAAAGTGCGCAGAGCCAGAGAATCCTCAATTTAATAGGGAGACGTGGAAAATGTTTTGTTTTCCTCTCAGTTAATAATGTAATTGGATGGTTCTAATGAGAAAAGTGATTCATTGAGGCTTGCTAATTAAGATTTGACATATTCGGAAGTGAACAAGCATTTGTGTACAAAGAAGAAAAAAATTAAAGAGGTAAGGAGGTTAATGAGTTGGTTGTCCGTTATCACGTTTAAACAACTACAAAACCTATCTAACATGTTGAATTACTTTCCAGGCTGTTGTGGTGGTGATGGTGCAGGTGTTTTCCAGCACGTCTGTAGCTGTGGAGTTTTTCATTTTCTTTCAAATAGCACATTTATTTACGTAGTCTGGGCCAATTATATTGCTAGAACTCGTAAGCAGCTGTTGTAAAACACAATCAAGCACTTAAGAGCAACATCAAGTTAGGCAGACAAGATATTTGATTGTGTCCTCTGTTTTCTCTGAATTCCATTAATTTAATCCAATTACCATAAAGTTCACACTGATTCTGAGCTGTCTGAGTCTCAGCCCTGTCTTGGGTCTTAACTCTGTCCTCGTCCCAGGGAGAAATCTAATTTCTCCCTTATTATAAGTTTGTTTGTATATAGTCACACACATACGCACTAACACACCCACCATTTGAGATGCAGAAATGAACATGCTATAAGCCATCACCGACACGACCACGCCAACAAATTTACATTGTAATTATGTCTGCTTAGCAAAACCTTAAACCCAGAACAATCCCTGGAGAGAAAATAAAAAATGTATTTCTTTCTGCGAGTGTATGTGTGTGTGCGTGGAGAAAATGTGTAGAAATGACTTTAGTGTTCACTGTTGGTGATGTGGCATTTCCATATTAATAGATATGCTAATCAAAGCCAAATCATATGCTAATGAGCATGATGGATTGATGCAGATAGAACTCAGTTATAAGTCTCATGAGGTTGACTTATAGAGGACTTATATACACTCATATAAATGCACAAACACACACACTTACAAACCACTCATGAGGTCAGTGAGGCTGTGCATCATCTAACAGCCACTCATACACATTCTAGTTTAGGTTCAAAAGTACATTTACAATTACGTCACAAACTCAACCCCCCACACACAGAGGGTCATACTTATTGTTGTGACAGCCTTTCTACTACTAAAGCACATGGTCATGGCTAAAAAAAAAAAGGGAAAGTGTGTGTGTAAATGAACGAGGGTACTTAATCCAGTGCTTAATACTGAATGCTTAATCCAAGGTTATCAGCTTCTGTGTCTGGTGAGTGAAACTGATGGTTTGAAGGATCTCAAGTTAATACTGAAATTTGAACTGATAACCTGCAATGTGAGATCGGTAAACCAGCAAAGAGTGTGCATGGGCTAGGCCCACACACTTCCTTTGGCTGCATAGATACATTAAGCAAGATGTATGGGAATAAAAGGAAAAGGAAAGGGAGAGTGAATGATTATATGATTTATAATAAATGATCCAGGTTCCAAAACAAATCTAAGCAATCATTTCTTAAACTAACCTCAAATCAAAATGATACAACATCAGTTCTGCCACGAGGCCATAGGCACAAAACCAATCTTCACTGACCCCGTGTCCGTGCACTGCACAATATCACCGAGGAGGAAGAGTGATAGTCTGCGAGTCAAAGTTTCAATTCACCAGACCAAATTTCAGAATGACTGCGGGCACTTTGTGTCTCAGATGAGTTCATCCGTTTGTGAGAGTATGCGGTAGGAAAAAAGCCCCGTTACTGTACGGTTTGTGAAAAGCTGAACTAACAGGAACGCAACTCATCACAGACTCCCACTTCATAAATCCACCATCACTGACAATTAAATCAATCTTATCTCAAATACAGTTTTACAGTGCATGCAGCAAGATAGCTGTATTAATGAAGGTTCTTTTCCTGTTTGTGTGGTAACAGTTAAGATAAGGGGGGAGATGCAACACGCAACATTGCAAGAAACTGGAGATTGAATAAATGTCAGTGTCTAAAACATAACTTTGCAACACTTTGAACAAGTGTACAAGATTTAATTTCTTTCAAAATGCTGTTTCTTATCAGACACATTTCTTAAAACAGACATTCACTGGATTTTGCCATTTTTTTCACAAAACTTCAAAATTAGTTAGCATCAACATGGAGCTTTGTATAGAGGGAAGGAAACAGATGAACACATCAGCGGAGGTTTCAGCTGTGTCCCCTCATTAACTTCTCAGAACAAATGATTGTGCCTGCACCCCCGCCGTGTAAGAGTGATGGATAGGTCTAAATAATTGATGGATCTCTATCTAATCCCCAGTGAGAATGTCTGTTCATTCCAACGTAGTCTGTGGCTTCATCAAAATAGCTAAAACAGTGTTTTGGTCCCTCAGCAAACCCCCCCTAAAAAAAACATGATTGATTGGCGTTTGAGTAGGCTGTTCTTTAAAGACGTTAAGTATGAAAATGAGTCTATCAACAAGAATATAACTTGACTCATAAAGGAGAATTGTAATTTTATACACTGTTTTGTTCTGGATTTTCTTTTCGTACTTTGGTCCCTCCTGGTCAGGGCTAATTTCGGGCAATAGTGCCACAAATAAGCAGCGAGCGACACTGTCCAGGTGATTAAGTCAGCTTACAGGGTGGAAGGAAACCAAATCAAATGAAGGTGTAAGGCTTTTGGAGCCACATTGCCCGGATGTGAAATAGCTCAGACTACAGTTGTTGACTGTGTTAATGTGGATTATCGAGTTCTTAGAGTGGTCAGCTGGACAATAAAAGTGTGATATAAGCACAGTCTATCTACCATGACTCTGCATTGATTGTAGGGTTTGGTGTGAGCATTCAGGCTGTACCCTCAGGCCCCAACCTAACCCTACATGGAATAAGCAGGTATAGAAAATGTTTGCTATTAACCATCACAAGTAACTCAATTGAGCAAAGCCCTCTACGTTTTTTATCAGGTGGAAGTTAGACTTTTCTGTTTTCTAATTCTACTTAAAGATGGTTTAGTTGCCAACTAGCTGTCCAACTGTAGGTAAATGTAAGCCATTGAGAGTGAAAGAGGGCAAAATGGTTGGGGTATTAAACGTCTGTACTGTTCATTTACTGAGACAGTATTGTTTTTAGAAAAGTGCCATTACTAAAAACGATCAAACAGCACAGCCCGTGTTTTTCTTTCATCTTTGCAGATGTGTGGTCACTTATTTATTCACATTTTCCAATTATATGTACCAAAATACCACAATGGGATAACGAAACATCATGGCAAACCTTATGGCTGTTTAACACATTTTACGCACCCAACACACTTGTTATTAAATGGAAATGTAGCTGTTCCAACCCTGGGATCATCAAGAAAATATTAGATTTCATAACATTTTGCTCATAAGAGGAGAACAGAGAAGAAGTGATAATATCCTTTTTCACAAGCACTGATACAGGCTCAGTTAAAAAGGCACATGTGAAACTGAGGCATTCCATTTTTTTAAAGAACAAAGGTATGTATTCCAGTTGGAGCTGTACCTTTGGTAACAAAGACAGATCTGAAATCTGAATTAAATTTAGCTCGAGGTGTTTGACAGCAAAAAACATTTCTTTGTTGAGAGTATTTTTCAATGATTATTTCTCCAAGTCCACAACAGAGATCGATCCTCTGCTTTTCTTAGTCTTGATTATCAACATCAAAGAACGTGTCAAAGCTGAGAGACAGCCTATATGGTAACTCAGGTATTTCAGAGGGTGTGTTTTTTACCTCTCTATCAAATGTAGCAGCAGGATGAACAATAGTTGACAATGAGAGCTGTTTTTGTGATTGTGTGTCGGTTTACCTCAACATAGAGGATGGGGAAGATTCCAATCTTGTCGCCTAGCATTCCTTCTGCCCAGTTCTCATCTACTCGCCTGATTACTGTTAGCACCTCATCCTGGGGAGAGGAGAAATGAGTGAGGCCACACGTAAACAGGCAAAAACACATTTCAGACTGTGTCGATAACATTTTTTAGGCTAAAAGTAAATGTAAATGCAGAAACAAGGCAAAACATGTCTGATCAATCTTTAAAATGAAAGCAATGCATTCAACATTTATAAGTTAAGATTTGGAAGTATGGATTTTTATGCTTCATGTCAGTGTTTTTCTTAGCTGAGGTTATGATTCAAAATGGTAAAATGAAACAGTTACAATCTATGGAAGTAAAAACATTCTCATGTTCTTGTGTTGGAACCCAGTAATAATATTAATTCTTAAAAATCACAGAAATTCCTTCACGCCAGAATCCATTAAATATAAACGACAGCACTTTCCAGAACATTCATCTCAGTGATGAATTAAGAAATCCATGTGTTGCCAACCTCAACAACCATTTCACAGCCATTTGAAATGCGTCAGACTTCTTTAATGGATTGCTGAGGACCCAATGATTTAGAGCGTTGAATGTGAGGACATTTGAATGGGGAGTGATCTCATTCTCTGGATCGTTACAGCTCTCTAAATACAGGCTAAGGCAGGTTAAAGTTGAAAATGTTGCAGTGGAATCATGGATTATGAGACCTGTAAACGTCGATAAACATCATAATGAATTCACCGGTTTATGAGTGGTGCCTGTGACAGAAGGCATATGCAGTAACACTGACCTGAGAGTTGGACATTGGTTTCATATCTTTTTACTTTGTTTTATCCAAAGTCTCGGTCCTTGGAGTTTTTCAAGTAAAGATTTTTTGTGTAACTTTCAGAATACCCCTGTGAGCAAGACACTAGCAGATGTATTTAGCATCCTGTTGTGTGGGCTCATGTGGCTGCTTGCACTGTGTGGGTTAAAACAATACCTCTGTCATTATAGTTTAACCATAAACTACTGGTCTGCTTGGGTTAGAATTCCTCTTTTTAATGAATGACTTTTCCACAGGCCTGAGTCATATTGTTCCTTGGCCAGATGTGCCACTGGGTAAAGCCTTTTTTCATTTGATGTGTTTTTGCTGTGGTGTGCACGTGGGTTTGGATGTTTTACTCTGACCATGTGTTAGGTCCTGAGTTGTTCTCGAGCTGGCCTTTGTTGAGATAAGTAAACTACTTCCACAGCCAACATCAGCTCATGTTGCACACCGCTGGTCTTGTCAGGGAGTTCAATTGAAGCACTGAGGGAAGACACTCGAGACCGGCCACGAATGTGACAGTTTTTTGATTTTCCACAGAAATGCACTTTTCACCGAGATGCAGCCCAGTGGCTGTCAAAAGCTGCTGAGAGAGGTTGGAAGGCTTTTTAAACCCTTTCACACTATACCGCAGATAATGGCTGTAAACGTCCCCATGCTCCTGCATATTGTTAGATCACCTTAAATCATGACATACTAAACTAATGTAATCAGTTTTTTCACACCGAAGCTCATCACGAATTGGAGCATTTACATCATTTATGATTAAGTCGAGTGATTAGAGGTGAGTTCTTCGCCCTGCAGCAGCCTTATCTTGTCTTATCTTCACTTCCTGTTTACATCACTACTTTTATATCATCCACACCTTTTCATTTGAATGACCTGCTCTTTCATAATGTTCTGTTACATGCAAGGTATGAATCACCAGGCCTGTAAGCTCATTTCAGCCCTCTCTGTGAATATACATTGCAACCTATACGTGAGAATTTATTACCTTTGTTGTTTGCCACACACGCCCACACACTTCATTATAAAAGTGTTGATCCCTCTGTTGTTCCTCTCTTCACATCGATGGCTTGTTTAGGTCATTACTGGATGGAAGCGATAATGCTGCTAAATGACTGTGTATTATTCATACTGAGTAATTACCTCTCACACTGAGAAAACAATATTGTAGTCACTGGTTCTGGATGACAACACGCATATAGCACACTATGTGTCTCTGTGTGAGTTTATAGCTTAATGTAATTTTCAGTCATAAATCTGTTGATTAGCTTAACCCAAAAATATAAAACAATATGAACCACTGATGTTTTGTCATTATCCATGACTCGTCTTCGAATGCCTACAGTGGAAGGCGTGCTGGAGAGAAATTTAATATCTTTTCTCTTTCTTTCTCTGCAGGAAACATTAAAGAGTGCAGAAACAGAATGGAGGTTCTGAGTCTTTAGTCCGACACAAACTAGTCCAATGTAGCAGCGGGAGCAAAACGATAAGTCTAAAAAAAGTTTTCTACAAACTCACCTCGACAAACTTATTTGAGGAACTTTCTGCCCTTTCTGATTCTGTCTTTCAGGTTAATGGTAAAATAACATTTCTCACCAGCAGTTAGTATGAAGCTCTATAAAGTCTGGATTATAAAGGCTCCTGACGAACAGACGAAGAACAAAAAGCTACAATTATCTGCCAGGATGGGGCGTGAATTACTGAAGACGTGCTGGCTTTGACATGCTGGTTTTTTTTCCAACGTTTGCTTTGAAAATATTTTTAATTTGATTTGTTCTCAATCTCATTAAAAGAAGCATTTTGGTACGGAAAGGTTTCCCTTTGGGAACAGTCCTCTGATAAAAAAATTGACTTGAAATAAGTTAACTTGCATTTGCTGTGTGTCATTGTGGCAGGAATACTGTCTGCATAAAAATAGCATTAGAGAAACATTAAAATTTCAATAAGAGCTCAGGGAACATCGACTCCAAGATTTTCCTTCCAAAAATGAGATTGCCTCTCTAATAAACTCACCTTCAGCCAAATCCTTAACAGTGGTAATGAGCTGCTGTCTGTGACAGATCAAATACTAACATTGCTAAAAAATATATCTTGCAACATTATCCAAATTTTTTTTTAATCTTTAAACATACTACCAATAGCATAAAACTTGGAGTTAAGTTACTCTTCTTCAAGCTCTTATGATTAGCATGACTTGGGTGACGGAGAATGTTCATCAATGACAAATAATTATTTCTTTCAGTCTGACTCAATTAAACAAATTTGCCTCAGTACCAAAAACTCCCAGTGCAAATTTTCTTTGTTGTGTGTGTCTCCCAGGTGTGTGTATGTGTGCTACCTTGCTGAAGGCCAGACAGTCTTTATCCTGGTCTTTGTCTTTGACCTCAAAGTCATACAGCGCCTTGCCCTGGGGAGGAGTTTGACTCAAGGGACGCAACAGCTGGATGTAACTGGCTGGTAAGAAACCGTGGCAACCATTGAGCTCCCCGTGGTACCAGTTGTCATCCACCTTGCGCCGCAGGATGATGATGTCACCCTTGGAAAACTGAAGATCACCTGGTTCTTTGCCCTCATAGGAGTAGAGGGCTTTACCACATGGCAGCGCCGGGATATTCTGCAAAACGCACACACGTAAGAACTTATTTTAATCTCCAAAACTTTGATTTACAGACACTTACTGATGTGAGATTTTTGCTCCTTTTAGTAATGTGGATTATGCACCATAATCGTACAGATAATCTTTTTGGCAGTTAAATTGTGGGTGTAAAGGCTGTTACTCTGCAAAATTCTTGACCCTCTTTAATATTGAAAGCAGTCTGAACTCTCATAGTTACACCTTCTTGAAGCTTCTAAGATTAAATCAGATTTAATAAGGAGTTCAGCCTTCTTGAAAAACATTGCTCTTCTTTAGTTGTTGGTTGCCTTCTGTGATCCCACACTACTTCAGATATGCTGCGGTCCAGGCTTTTGGGAGGATTTATTACCCCATAAAACGTGTTCACGCTGACTTTCAGTCCAAGTGGCTTGGCTTAAGTGTCTATTTTGTGTAGACAAAATATAATATCTCATCCCTTCAGTTATGGGCCTCTGTATGCTTAAATGATTCATAGATCAGACTTAGGTGGCTTAAAAACCAAAAAACACATTCATTTTTCAATCAGAAGATGTTGACAGACAAATGTTATAATACCTTCAGACTTATTGCTCATAAGCCTGTTTAAGAAAGTTTTGCTCCATGGAAGCAAATTTCACTTTCATGACTGAGATCACACCATAATTTTAGGTGTGACGGGAAGGGACAGATGAACCCAAAATATTACTTTCCTGTTTACAGCAACTCAAAATGGCTTTGACACCTCTAAAGATTATGCAAAGCTTTCTTTTTTGCCATTTACCTGTGTTGATGAGAGTAAACTATCCCGAACAAGTCATTTATACTAAAGGTGTTTTCATTGGATCCTTAAAAATGGGCCACTTTACATACTATTTATCCGAAAAAATGTGGTTGAGAAAAATTAGTGGCTCTCTGTTGACTTTCACGAAAAAGCAAATGAGACAGTGACTCCTGCAGTAACTAGTAAATAATCAGGAAAAAAGCCTGGGAGCAAACAGGTTTTGAAGCAAGTCAAAATAGTGGCAAATTCAATATGCTGCAAACTGTGGGCCCCGGGGACTAATTTGTAGAGCATGGATAGTTGGATATATGCCCCAAGGCTCACTTTATTCCCCTCAGCAGTGTGTGAAATATGACTGGTTATTAAAATGTTTGGAAGGTAATTGCTGTTCCTACTCTGAGCCAAACATAGTAATTTTGGAAATGCCAGTCCAGTGTGAAGCATGACTCCCGTGAGTTTCATCCAGATCTGCTCTATGGTGTCTCACACATCACAAGTGCTGGACAGAAATGCACAGGTGCATTTGCCCAGGCCAAATACACATGCCACGTGTCACAAATGACCAAAATGTCCCACTCAGACTGTGATGAAGTTCCACATCCACTGAGCTTTAAATGTCCCCTCAGAGCTGAGAACTTTTCTACATGTGAAAACATACAGTATTTATTGAAAGTATTTAGCGTTTTCAAAAAGTTCTCCATCAGGGCGGGCATAACTTAGCCCACGCTTAAATGTATGGAAGTCATTACACAGCATTTGACAAAAACAAACATGGCCCCTGAAAGCCAAAATAAACAGGAAGAATGAGGCTGGGTTTTGAGTTCTGATGGAAAAAAAAAAGTAAAAAAAGAAAAGTTATCTGGAAACTATCCAGTCTGACAGGACAGGCCTGTCTCTAACATTGCTCTTTGTGTCCTAAAATGAGTTTTTTTTTTCTTCATTTTCAAGGTTAAGGATTTCTTTATTCATTAAGGCCCTCACTTATTTTGGGACTAGAAGTGGTTTAGCAGTTACAGACAGACAGGTTGCTGTTATACAAATATTACAGGATGTCTGCACATCCTGGGGGCAAACCACAGCTGGTAGTCATAAGACTGTATTAACGTTCTGTAATAGTCCTAAATTTGTTTGTAAATTCTTCCAGACTCAGTAATAAGACTACTTAATTAACATTTATCCTAAACATCTTAACAATATTTCATAGTTGAACATTTTAATTAAAACTGTAGATAACATGAGGCCACAATATTTCTGAATAAGCTTGAAATGCTGTTAGGATATACATTAAAACCTGCCACAATATAACATGTATGACGCACAAAGTAGAAGACGCTTTGATTTAAGATATAAGAAAATTCAATTTAGTGATTACATAAAGTAAACACAAACTCCGAAGCAATCTTTGAAGACAAATGTATTGATATAAATGGCACCGTCCAAGCTAACAATGTAATCAGTTCCAGCCACTGTCCCAGACTAAACTAGCTGTCATTTCTCCAGGAATGAAAACGCACAGGCCGATGCGCATCGCTGACAGTATGGCCGAGTGTTTTTGTCTGCAAGCAATTCCTTATGCTTCAATTTATATTCTCTTTGTTGTTTTAAGAGATTGATCTTATAACATGCAAGCAAAGTTATGCCTTTCCAGGCATGAAATGAATACTGGACATGAGTCTGCTGTTTTACCGCCCTGGATTCACAATCATGTGAAGGCCTGTGATCCCCTTGTAATTCTGACAAGTCAAGTTTACAGCTCAGTTATGTTTGCTTAGAAGCTACACACAACAATTAGGAGTAATGTTTTTACTATAATGAATGGCATCCATTTTGGTCACACTAACGAGGGACCATACATGTAGAATTCAAGAAAAAACAAAACACAAACATAGAAAATCAGCCACCGGATGCACACCTCACTCAGAAGTGGTCATCTGATTGTCTGGATCTCATTTCTCCCATCAAACCAGAGTAGTGAGGTCTACCTCTGTGGACACTAGCAGGCCTGTGATTGCGGGCGGAACAAAACTTCTGTTATTTATTACATGGTTGAAACAGCTGGTGATCATTTTGATGTTTTTTTTGTGACAGGCAGCTTTGAAATGATAAGCCTGCTTTTGTCTACATCTGGGTGAAATCAAGGACCCATTGTTTGAAAAATGCTTTGAATTTGAATGGTAAACCTGCCACTGCTGTCACTGTTTACTGCATATGTGGCATACTAAAAGGGAAAGCTTAACCAACATAGTAACTGTAACTACGGGGGATGGGGAGACATGCAAGATGTTGGTACTCCAGTTCCCCTGCTTTACTCCTGTGGTATAATATAGATACACTCACTCAATCAGAATTATCTATTTATTTCCTCTCAAAAATCCCCAAATGAAAGCTTAACGTGTTTGTTGTCGTAAAGGTAGAGTTATATTTCTATAGAGCAAGTATCACCCGCATTTCCCACCATTCATGGAACATGTGGTTCTATGGTGCTGAAAAAGAGTTTAACCTAAAAAGAAATGTGAAAAACAAACAGCAGCGTGCAACCAAGGAGAGAGCTAAAAATGAAAAAAACAGAACAACAGCTTATCTTTTCAAAAAAGAACATGTTTCCAATAACACTCAGACACACACTCACATATTCCTTTTCTGCACTCGCATTTGGTGAATTCTCCCCCGACGCTACATAAAAGAGAGTCGCCCGGGGTTTCAAAGTCTAAATAAGATCAGTGGTGACGCAATAAGAGGAAACAGATGCGCAAACAAGAAAAACAGTATTAATGCTGCTGTTACAGTACAATCATCGCACTAATATTCATACGTGTGATCCAATGTGGTTTCCCACGTGGTCAAAAGAACATGAATTAAGTCTGTTGACACCTGTGCACTTCACTCAACAGCATGGGCTCTACTCATTAATCTCTCCTTGCAGCTCTCTTTTGTTGGGGCTTTCTATACAATTGCTTCAAATTCTGACACAGAAAGCTAGGAAAATATTTCTTGTAGAGTATTAGTGTATTTATTTGTATGTATTTGTCTACAAGACTATCGATCTGAGACAGGGTCGAGCCTCTCTGAGCATCTTATTCTGAGGCATTGGAAATGCTGTTAGCAGGGCCAGCTCTGCTGCAGAATCTGTGTCAGTAAGCTGCACATCACCCACGTACGACCAACAAGACATCAAACACAGGTTCTGGGGAGGTAGTGGGGAGCGAAGTTTGGACGGAGAAATTGCATCGCTGCAAATACAAAAGCATAAACATCAGCGTGAAGCCAACCCTGTTTAATGAAAAGTTGACTTTTCCCTTTTCAGAAGACGGAGTTAAAAGGAAAAAGAAAACAAGTAGACGGGGCTGATAATGATGGCAAGGATGAGAATAGGAATGGGACAGCTGCATTATCCATCTCTTTCTTTGGCATCCTCTCCCTTCAGCCTTCACCTTATTCTTCTCTTGCGATGAGCCTCTGAATCTTTCTCACTCTCCTGCTATTTTCACCCATCTGTTCCATCCTACTTTCCTGCTTTTCCTTTTTCCTTTTTTCTTTCTTTCTTTCTTTCTTCTCTTTGGGCTAACATAGAGATATGGGAAAGGCTCCTGGAGGGTCTCGTCAGGGGACGGCTCTGTTTACTGCTTGATGCCTGGAAGAAGGAGGTTGCTGTGCTCTCTGCAGTGAGGATCATCTAAAACAAGAGGCAAGCTGCTGCGCTGCTCTACACTAAGCCGGAGGCAGAGGGGTTAGGCTGTCTTCTATATTTTACAACAGAAAGACCCCATCTGAGTCCAAAACAACGGCCCAATTCTGGATTATATTGTAAAGCGTTATTTATTTTTGTGGATAATGTCTTCAGTCTGTCAGTTCCTTTACACTATAAGAATAATTGTGCTAGTCGGACTAAAAGGTGAACTTAAAACAACCACAGACAAACAGAAATAATATATTTTTCAAACTCAACCTGGTAGTGGAGATGCTGATATCTGAGTGTCCAACAAACCGAACTGTAAACGCATTAGTGAGGATGTCTGTGGGAAGATTCAGAGTGGATTTAGTAGTATGAGTAAGCTAAGGTTCTTGGCTTGCTGTAATATGTTGCATATTTCTAGGAACTGTGGAAAAGCTTTGTAAATCATTACAGGAAGAAGAGGAAAACACTGAATTCAACACTTTAACTTTCTTTGATCTAACACATTTTAAACAGGCAATTATCACATCTTCGCTTGTCATTATA